AAGAGACTGGGACTGTTCTCCAGAGAGAGGACAAGTCTTTCAGAGGGTAACACAAAAGCGGTAGCAGGGGAGTGGTTGTTTTTAACCTGAACATCCCAGAAGAACTGCACAAGGTGACACAAGGCTGTGGGATAGTCCAAGTGCAGGAGACAGCACCAGTGACCACACCAGAGACATCATGTGAGTACCAGGCTGCAGTCTGGATCTCCTTCACTGCCGAGACAAGAGTTCTCAAAGTGCCTTTTATCCTTTTAAGGAGGATGCAAAAAATGATGATAGCTCAATACAAGTAGTTATATTCATCCACTACTGCACACAAGCAACACTGGAAGATCTGCCAGGCTAATTAACAGTAGCCAGGAAAAACCACGAGAGTAACCAAAGTAGTAACAAGCAGTAACACAAGCTTGCCTGCATGTAAATCAATGAACTCCTACTGATTTGGGAAATCCACGAACCTTCAGTAACACGAGGAGAGGCAGTTCCAGACTGCTGTGTGGGAGACATTAAAACACTGTTTACAGATTCTCTTATCTACAACTTCTCCCTGACAGTCTTGAGAGTGGGGAGGGAGTCACAGAGGGGGAATAAACACTAAAATCAGAGAAAAACATTGTCAACAAAGGGAGGTCTGGAAGCTGCCTCCACTGAGTCAAAAGTTTTCATGTTGCTTGAGAGGAGGTAAGAACCAGTGAGCCACAGCTTTGCATTTGTCTTCCCCCATTACTGCTTTTGCCTTTTTCAAAAAAACACAGTATCCCAAAAAACATAGTATCCCAAAAAACATAGTATCCCAAGATTTCTCCATAGATGTGTTGCAACTGAATCAAGCTCCCAACTGCAGGCCCAGCTCAACAAGACAAAATCAATGAGCTTTTGTCATCCGTGTTTGTCGCAATAGTAGAGATCTTGCTGTCAGTAAAACCCTTTAATGAAATCCTTGCTCAGCAGTGTCATAGTGAAGGTACTATGTAAAAATTGAAAATTGTAAAGATCCAAATCCAAGATTTGGAGTTTTTTTGAGTAAGGAGGGGAGGGGAGGTGGAGCTCAGATGTGATTTTGGGAAAAACAAGGAAGTCATTTTATACCACTTCTTCTTGGCAAGACACAAAATAATGGTAAAAACGAAATAGATGGCCCACAGACACAAAAATTAGCTGCAAAAACAATACAGATATTACAAGAGAAGCCAAGAGCAATGGAGCCAGCAGCCACTTGCCTACAATACCAGCAGGAACAAAAAATTGTGTGCCTAACTCAGGCAGTTCTCAGAAAGTAGGCTTTCGAGTATTTCTGGCATTTAGCTGTTCTCTCTCGTGAGTGCCTAGATAAAGACACTATACTGAGTTTAGCCTTACTTTGGACTCCACAGTGAAGTTTATTATGGCATCTAGGTCAGTGAATCCCACAGGAGATGGTCTGCCTG